GGGAGCTCTACAGGCTGAGCCAGGGCTTCTGGCTGGACTGCGGTGGGCCCAGCCTCCTCTGGGAGCTCTGCAGGCTGAACCGGGGTCTCCAGTTGGACTGGGGTGGGCCCAGCCTCCTCAGGGCGCTCTGCTGGCTGAACCGAGGCCTCCTGCTGGACTGGGGTGGGCACAGCCTCCTCGGGAAGCTCTACAGGCTGAGCAGGGATCTCTGGCTGGACTGGGGTGGGCTCAGCCTCTTCAGGGTGCTCTGCTGGCTGAGCAGGGGCCTCTGGTTGGATTGGAGATGGCTCAGCCTCCTCCGTGTGTTCTGGAGGCTGAGTTACAGTTATGGTAAGTGCCAGATCCACAGGCTTAACAGTCACGTTGTGGAGCTTTGGCCGCTGGGCTTCATTCTGACTGAGAGACGGCACATCTACCTCATGTGCTATCGGTTGAGGTACCACCTCCTTAGATATCTCTAGAGGTTGACCTGGGGCCTCCTGAGGGGTCGAAGGTTCTACTTCCTCAGGGGCCTCTGTAGGTTGAGCTGAAGCTTCCTGACGGACTGAAGAAGGTTCAACCTCTTCAGTTGTGCTTGAAGGCTCAGCTGGGGCCTCCTGTGGGTTTACAGAACTTCCACCTTCCTTAAGGATCTCCGGAGGCGAAGATGGAGGCTGCCGCTGAATTGGAGAGGTTTCTGTCTCTTCAGGGGGCTCTGGATGTTGGGCCTGGGCCTCCACCTGAGGCAAAATAGATTCAGCTTCCTCAGGGAACTGTAGATGATTTTGGGTTTCCTGCAGGAGTGGGGAAATTTCAGCCTCCTCAGGGAGATTTGGAGGTTGTTCTGGTTGCCCCGGGAAATCCACTGGTAGGTTCTCCCCAGGATATAGGATATCCATACTGGAATCTGAATCATCATCCTGCAGCTGTTCTAGGAGCTCTTTATTTGCAAGTTGGTTTGGAGTTCCAACAATGACTTTGGCAAGCCTTCGATGCTGAACAAGATCTTCCTCCAGGTTTGGGGGTGAAACAATAAACTGTGTTGGCTTTGAACTCTGAACATCCAGAGGTGGAACAAGTATTTCAAATGATTGGTGATCTTCAGCCTGATCCAAACCTACAACTTTAATCTTACTTTTGAGTCCAAGAGGCAGAGCTATGGTCTGATTCTGATCCCAACCTAGCCTTGGAGCCACCTCCGGGAGCCTTTCATGCTGGGTTAGCTTGTCATTCAGATCCTGATCTGCCTCTGGGGTCAGCTCGCCAACTGAATCCGTGTCCGGGAACGGAACCAAAGTCTCAGTCAATTCCTTAGGCGGGGCCAACATCTGGACTGGAGCAGAGGACCCCAAGTATTTAAAGCCCCCCGGCTCTGCTGGGGGTGTAAGTGCCTGGGGCGATTCGGGCGGGAGTTCAGAGGAGTGCGAAGACCAGGGCTCGGTGGGCCCTAGGAAGTCGGTCAGCTGGGCAGGGTCCAGGGCCCACTCCGGAGGCTGAGCTGCCTGGACCAGCAGCCACAGTGGTTGCCACGTGAGGAGGAGCAGTGGGGCCCAGAGGCGCAGCCGGGACATGACATGCGGAAGCTCTGGGGCGCAGCGACCCAGGCCAGTGGGGCGCAGGCGCCGCGCCGGAGCGGAGCCGAACCGTTATGGCAGCCCCGTGACGCGCACACAGTTAGCAACTGCGCGCCCCTCCCCCGCCTACGTCCCACCCTTTGTTTACGACACCTTTATTTACGCCACCTTTATTAGCTGGCCGCAGGTGGGCACCGCGCCTGTCAGAGCGAGCCCCTTTTCCAGAATCACCGGGGCCCAAGCCTCCCTTCCCTCTACAAAGGGCACAGCTACCTCCTGATACTCACAGCGAGGCAGGATGGCCACGGACTCCAGCAGCTCGGGGCGGGAGGCGGGGGAGACGGGGGAGTGGTGGGGAGCCGGGGACAGTTTCCCAAGGAAGCCACAGGACCTGGCATCCCGGGAAATTAAAAATGCTAGTCCAGTTCTGGCGGTTTGAACTCATCCTCTTCAAAGCTCAAGTCCGAGAGACATTCTTCCTCCCCTTGGCCATCCTGCTTCCAAGAAAAGTAGCTGATCTGCAGAATAAACACCAGTTAGGGCAGTAGGGAAGGGATTACATTTTACAGGTTGTTATTCTAAAATGTTGCCATTTCCTCTAAATTCTCAATACGCATGTCTGAGTATTAAGTCGCCACTCTGTTAGAAGGAGGCTACCTACCATTGAATCAGTGATGGCTCCAAAATTTCTGTAGGAGGGGTTTTAAGGCAGGGGTGGGACGAGGCGGGGGTGGGGGTGGGCAGGTGAGGATTTTATTCTGGGAATGAGGGTCTGAAACCAAGAGAATAGACCTCTATTCACACTGGCATGGGAAAACTTCCCTCATCCCACTTGACTCAACATAGCCGTCAGTCTAGAAAAAGTAACACCACCACTTTTCAGAGGTCTGACCCTGTGTGTGCACATGTTCAAGTTAGCAGGTCAATTTTCTTGAAATAGTGTAACACCCAGTTTACATCCTTCACAGTCCTTTTTATAATCTGTTTTATTTGAGTCCCTGTTTATGGTCTGGCACAAGCCTAGTACGCAAACTATAAGAGAGAAGGGTTTATCTTATTCCCAGCATCTAGCACATAATAATGGTTTTTAAGTGGAACTGATTCCAAGACTGGCCTTATTTAGGAATGGATCTATTGTTACAATCAGGTTTCTGAAATTTTCAGTATCAGTACAGAATCTCTCACATTTCACAAGAAGCTAGACTTCTTAAAGTGTAAAGTTGGATAAGTCTGAAGTTTCCTTGATGAGCTTGATTTAAACTGAATTAAAATAATTATTTTGCACCAAAAAAAAAAAAAAAACCTTCAAATACTTTTTCAGAAAGTAACCATCTTTTCTTTCTCCACTCTCTTCCCTTCAAAACAAACAAACTTTGCAACTTTGGAATGAGTTAAATAATCAGAAATCTAGCCCCCAAGTAAGTTTTCAATGACATGAAACCCATCCTTCGCTTTTTTTTTTTTTTTTTTTTGACATTCTATATGCAGCACATTAATAGCTTCTTTTAGAAATTACCTTGGCAACTTAATCCCTAATTCAGGGCATGATGTAAGTGATTGACAGAAAAGTTCTTCAGCAAAATATTTCATACAAGATACGTGTAAGATGCTGACATTTGGGTAATACACCTTATTTGAAAGGCATAATGGTTTTCAAACACTGTAGCATAATCTCACTTAATGCCAGAGTTACCCTGTTCTCAAATTCCTGGGATTCTGTTTGAGGGGAGCTCTAAAAGGCCGAGTCCTCTCCTATGTCTACAAGGGTAGGAGTACTCTGATGCAATTTGCTTGCCAAATTTCAAAGAAGGGGTCAGAGCCAAGAGTGAGGACTTCAAGGAAAGCCTCAGAAATTCCCATGCACTCAAAAGCAGTTTCAGAGTTTTATATTTCCCAAAGGATGATAAAGCTAAGTGTACTTGTCAAAGTCTTCCAAATCCTGCCGGTTGCTTTAAATTATGGCTACCCTGGCTATGGAATCCCCGAGCTGTAATCTCCACATACTTGAATTAAATCCTGTAGCTCCTCTTCGGTTCTGGCATCTGTAATCTCTTCACAGGGTCTATATTCCACAGCTATTTTACCACTTTCTGAAATAAAGTTAACAAGGATCAGATCAAAATTTTTCTTGTTCTAAAACTTGTTGTATATGATAGCATCCAAAAATTAGATAGTCTTTTGATTTTTTAAAAGTATTTTATTTTATTTATATTTATATTTATTTATTTATTATATTTATTTATTTTATTTATATTTATTTTAGAGAGCGTGCACAAGCAGGGGGAACAGCAGAGGGTGAGGGAGAAGCAGGCAACATGCTGAGCAGGGAGCCCAATGTGGGGCTCAATCCCAGGACCCGGAGATCGAGGCAGACCTTAATGGGCTGAGCCACTCAGGTGCCCCGTAGACATTCTTTTGCTTTCTAAAAGCTAAAAGCATTTTCCTAGAAGTTTTTTCACCTCACACTTCAGTTTTTATCATAACTTTTTTTTCAGATTTTATTTATTTATTTGAGAGACGGGGGGGGGGGGGGGGAGGGAGAAGCAGACTCCCCACTGAGCAAGGGAGTCTGACATGGGGCTCAATCCCAAGACTTTGGGATCATGACCCAAGCTGAAGGCAGATGCTTAACCTACTAAGCCACGCAGGCACCCCATCATAACCATTTGCAGGAAAAAAAAAAAATTAAGTTATCAACTGTGTGGTTAAAAAAACTTCATGATCTCAGAGATAGGAACTAAGGAATAATGACACAGGGAGTTAAAACTGTAGGAACAAAAACATTCAATCATAATATGATTAAGCAATAAGACTTTATTTAGGTGGGGGTCAAGGTGAGTTCAAACCCAGAACAGAGACCACCAGACTATGGCTGATACTTCATATTAGAAACAAGGCAAGTGTCTACTCCCTGGGAACCAAAATCCCACCAGATACAATGAACAATGCTTTGGAGAAGGAGGCAGGGCATGCATTGGAACACTTTATTGGCAGAAACAGGCCCATGTACCTTATAGATAATACAATTTCCCTTAAGGCAAACTACAGCTACAAGACTTTTTAGTCTAAGGAATTTTGAATGTGTAGAAGGGATACCAAGCATATTAGGGAGAGGTCAACAACCCAAACACTCAGTTTGGTTCTTAAAAGGTTGTCACTCAGAATTGATAGCTAATAATGATTCTACCTGATGACCACGGAAGTCAACCTTCCCTGGAAGACTTACCCAGGCTGGAAACCTAAAACCAATCCAGGGTCAACTCTTAGAATCAAATAAGGCCTCTGAAACTTAGCTAGGATTTCTTAGTCTTTAAGACTCAAGGCTCTGAAGCAGGGGAGCAACTGTTGGAACTCTCCACTAATTATAAAATTTCCAGAAAAAAAGGCACCTGGGTAGCTCAGTTGGTTGAGTGTCCCGCTTTTGATTTCAGCTCAGGTCATGATCTCAGGGTTGTGAGATCAAGCCCTGCACCAGGCTCCATACTAGGCATGGAGCCTCCTTAAGATTCTCTCTCTCTCCCTCTCCCTTTATTCCTCCTCTGCCTCCCTCTTTTATTTTGTTTAAAATAAAATAAGTCAAATAAAATAAATTTCCTTTGAGCACAGCCTGGGTTGTCTCTCCCTCTCTCCCTCTATTCCTCCCCTGCCTCCTCTGCCGCCCTCTTTTATTTTATTTAAAATAAAATAAAATATAATAATATTTAAAAAATAAAATTTCCTTTGAGCATAGCCTGTAGCACTCACACTATTGTAGAACTCAGTAGGGAATACAATCAACACTGTTCAATAGGATGGCCACTTACAAGGTTCATAAAAATGTAGCTGATCATTGTGTAAGAATCATGTTTACCAATGTCAGTGCCAGAAAGAAAAAGTGAAACTGAATCGATTCCAAAATTGATTCTAATAAATTCTCCAACAGGAAAACAATAATGGTAAGAAGTTGGGAGGCCTGGGTGGCTCAATCAGTTAAGCCGCTGCCTTCAGCTAGGGTCGTGATCCCAGGGTCCTGGGATTGGGTCCTGCATCCGGCTTCTTGCTTGGGAGCCTGCTTCTCTCTCCGCCTCTGCCTGCCACTCTGCCTGCTTGTGTGTGCTCTCTCTCTCTCTCTGACAAATAAATAAATAAAATCTTTAAAAAATAATAATAATAAGAAGAAGTTAACATATTTTGTCTGCTTACCACATTACCGGGATAGTCCTAAACTTTTTATATTCATCGTCTCATTTACTCTAACAATGTCCCCCATGAGGTAAGCTGAATTATTAACTTTAGTTTGCAGATAAAGAAATTGCAGCTTAGAGAGACTAAATACGTTTAAATTTGACTATAAAACCTAAAACTGCATCAGAAATCTTTAGAGACAGAGTTAGGACTCAACAACAGATGTCCAAAGCTTATAATCACTATAATACTTTGTGTTACAGGCAAACAGTCAAAAAGGAAGACTGGGTCAAACATTTTCTGTGTGCAGGCAAGTCGCTGTATATCTATATACTATAGACAATAATATTTCTCTGTCTCGATGTCATTTTTCTCACAAATGCTACAAAGAACAAATTTGAGACTGCTGCTTTGAAAGCATTTGGTGAATAAAAGAATACAAAGTGTTTTCATCCCAACTAGCTTTTCAAAATGAGTTTATTTGCTCATGGAAACTGAAGTACCTTGAGGACAATCGAGAAAGTCTTACCTAAAACCACAATCACCAGTTTCTGGAATGCATCTGACACAGCCTTCTGAATAGCAAGCTTCTGGGTGGTTTTCCTTTTCATCAGAAATGATAATGGCCCTAAGCCCAACCAAAACAAATGGATTTAATATATATGGCTGAATAACTGATTTTTATAAGATTTTTATTTATTTATTTGTCAGAGAGAGAGCACAAGCAGGCAGAGAGGCAGGCAGAGACACAGAGAGAAGCAGGCTCCCCACTGGACAAGAAGCCTGATGTGGGACTCCATCCCAGGACCCTGGGATCATGACCTGAGCTGAAGGCAGTGGCTCAACCAACTGATCCACCCATGCATCCCTGAATAACTGATTTTTATGTTATAGGTTTAAAAAATCAAAGTGGATCCACGATTCTTAGATCATTATCTTAGCAACAAAGGCAGACACAACACAGGCATTTGGTGGAATGGCTCTGCTGTAGCAATATCCTGGCTTGGCACATTTTTACTGTCCTGATCTATTCCAGAAGTTCCTGAAGTACCAGAAAGGAGATGCAAGCCAAGAAGGTGGCACAAGGGACACCTAGGTGGCTCAGTCAGTTAAGCGTCTGCCTTCGGCTCAGATAATGATCCCAGGGTTCTGGGATGAATCCCACATTGGGCTCCTTGCTCAGCAGGAAGTTGGCTTCCCCCTCTGCCTGCTGCTCCCCCTGCTTGCGCTCTTGTGCTCACTTCCTCTCGCTCTCTGACAAATAAATAAATAAAATCTTTACAAACAAAAAAAAAGAAGGTAGCACAAATTTCACATCACTCACAGATTTCAAATGGACAAATTGAAGCTATCCTCCTACAGGCCCTACTTTCTCTCTTGTGCATCAAGCACCAGAATCACAGAGAAAGATTTGGTGGTAGTGCACATGACCTGCTCTCTTCCTGAGCATCACCCACGGAAACCTGTTCCACTCCATTTGCTAACAGCCCTGCCTCTGCCTTAAAACCCTAAGCCTAAGCGCTATGGACTCTGGGAAAAATCAGTACCAACTGGAATACCTTTTCTAGGAATCTACATTTGACTCTTTACACACCAGCCCTTTTATAGGAGGCAAAGGACTGAACATTTATGCAAGAATTTATTTAAATCTTTAGATGATGATTTTGCTGGGATCACTGAAGGCTACAAGAGATCTGTATTTGTAGGACTATTTTAGCACAAGGCAATTTTTTTTTTTTAAGCACAAGGCAGACTCTTAACCAAAAATGGAAAAAAACATTATTTCCCTCTTCCTAAACAGGAAAGTCAGCTAGCAGAAAATCAGCTTTAGAATTTTAAAGCTAAAGGTTCTTTTAGGGATTGCCTATGATAAAAACCTGTATTGCAGGGTAGAAAAGCTCTGCCCAGGGCTTTAGTAGCTTAGCAAGGGGAGGGCTTGATGATATATCTAGAAAGATGAGTTTTAGAAAGAAAGAGAGGTTCTACCTCCACCCCATCCACCTCCCCCCCCCACCCCCACTATAAACAGACCTTCCTCCAGCTTCTCCAAAGGCTTCTCGGCCATGCCGACTCCAGGACTCCTGCACTCAAAGAATGGCAACACCACTTCTAAGGCACAGAAGAATTTCAGGCTCTGCTTCTGAAATGGTACTGCAGCATCTTCATTTTCTCTTTCTTCGAGGTCAGAAAGATCCTGAAGCTGTTAGGATTTTAAATTAAAGGTCCTTCCTAGGATCTCAACATAGACTTCAAGATGTTTCGTTAATATAAATAAAAACTAAACTCCAGCAAACCCAGCTAACAGTTGAGGTCCTATAGCTTCAAAATCAAGTAAGACTTGCAAATGAATTATTAGATACGGACAACTGCTTTTTATTTTTGTTTTTTAATTCTATACCCTACAAATACTGGTGAAAATTGTGGACGCCACTACCCAAGTCACTGAGAGTCTTATTAATTCTATGTGGCAGGCCCATGCTCAGGTCCTTCTACTTAGTTCCCCTTATGTCTCCTACCCACACCCAGTTCTCTCCTCTCTGAAGTCTAGGGTTTCAATGTTGAAATGAGTCTGATTAGCCAAAGCAAAGCTATAAAGTGTACCTTGATGATCCTTTTTGACCATCCATTGAAACCAAAATAATAATTTGCCAGTTCTTGGCACTGGGAGCTGTTTAGGGCAAGGCACTGATGTTGAACCGCTTTATGTCTCGTGCCAAGACGAACCTAAAGACATAAGAGAGAGACTGAAAAATATCACAACTTGCCACTGAGGCTTATTTTGGATACACCTGAGATTGACCAATACCTATTTCAGAGACTGGCTGTGAAGATTAAAAAGGGAACAACACTGTAAGCAGTGAGCTCATAGTAAGCCCTAAATGAGTGGTATTTACTCTTTTTCAGCTACTTTTCTGCATCATTTCCAGGGCTCCTGATTGAATTGGGAGATTTTCCTGACCTCTGGTGGTGCGAGTGACGATGAAAGTGACTAAGGAAGCCCTCCAGAAGCAAATTATGTAGGTGAGCAAAGGAAAGACATTGTTTTCATTGTTCCATTCTGGAGTGTATGACCTAAACACCAGACAAGGTAGGCCTGACACAGCGGTAGGACCCTAATCTGTAGCACACTCCTCCCCAAGTCACTAACCTGTTAGAACAAGGAATATACAGACCTCTACAAACTTTATAAGCAACTAAACAATTAGAGGTTCATTTGCATTAATAAGCTTCTTTGAGAATGCAAATACCTCCAGCGTTAACTCTCTGAATAACTTAACGCTCTATAGTGAATTTCTTACATCCACTGATTCTGTCTTAAATGTCTATTTCAACTTTAAGCAGGGCGTAGTATAGTTAATATATTCATAAAGATTCAAATGATGCCAATGAAGTCACAGCACTGTTAATTCTTTATTGATTTGTTCATACATCTTCCTCTATCACTGGTTTGTAAGCTCCTTAAGTGCTTAAAGGAACCATATCTTATTCTTTTCTCATTCCTAAAACCAAGCACATTCTGTTGTTGACTGAGTGAACGAATGAAAGAAAGAGTGATAAGAAAATGAAATTACTTTCTCCAGATAAAGCTGCATGCTGGGAAGGAGAAATGAAGACAAACTTTTAAATGTTGAGTGCTGCACGGGCGGCTAATGGTGAGGTACAGTGGAGCTATTCTGGATAACAAGGAAGCTTCAGAAGGGCCCCAAGCCTCTGAGTCGGAGAGACTGTTGTCACCTTGGATAAGCTTGCCAGTTCTTGCTGGCAACCATTTTCCTTCATGCTACTGAAAAAAACTCTCAGATGCCCTTAGCCTTTCCTTGATTTACTTTATTTAAGACATTATTCTTTTTTCTGTATTTATAAAAGGCAAACGACAACAACAACAGCAAGAAAAAACCACCCAGGAACTATGCGTAGTTGCCAAAGTCAAAAAGAGCCCATAAGTAAATTGGATAACAATTTGGGAAAGCGGGATGGTAACCCAAGGTTCTGTGTTAAATAACGAAATCTAATACTAATGTTCTCTCTTGTCAACTGTATATTGACTTGTAGAGCACTTCCTTCATCACTCTGAGTGATGGGCTTTATGCTGTTAAATCTCAAAACCTAAAATTTATGAAATGATCTTAATGTCCAATGAGAGACAAAAACCCCATTACTTACAACTGATACAAAATAACTATTTCATAGGGGCACCTGGGTGGCTCAGTGGGTTAAGCCTCTGCCTTCAGCTCAGGTCATGGTCCCAGGGTCCTGGGATAGAGCCCCGCATCAGGCTCCCTGCTTAGTGGGGAGCCTGCTTTCCCCCTCTCTCTGCCTGCCTCTCTGCCTAGTTGTGATCTCTCTCTGTCAAATAAATAAATAAAATATTTAAAAAAATAACTATTTCATAATCTGTAATACCTAAGTGGCTCTGTGAACTTTTCACAGGCTAGAAGCAGGCCAGGCCACAGTTTGCAAACTGAAGAATGTCTGACAGGTCATCTTTTCAATCACAGGGACTGAAGCCAGGATTGAAGAGGGCGTTAAACAAGTAGGTGGTAAACCTAGAGTCACATTTGAGGAGAGTTCTCAGATTCGATCTAGGTTAAGTCAATAAAGAAAGGCATATGGGGGACGCCTGGGTGGCTCAGTGGGTTGAGCCCCTGCCTTCGGCTCGGGTCATGATCCCAGCGTCCTGGGATCGAGTCCCACATCGGGCTCCTTGCTCAGCGGGGAGCCTGCTTCTCCCTCTGCCTCTGCCTGCCACTCTATCTGCTTGTGCTCACTCTCTCTCTCTCTGACAAATAAATAAATAAAATCTTTAAAAAAAAAAAAAAAGGCATATGGTAAGAATAGACAGTCAAGTCAGTATGCGGTAGCCAGATTAAGAAGCCAGTCAGAGAAGGCTGATGAAGACATACAATTATAAAGGGAAAGGTTTGGAAATCTAAGTCTCACTCATTCAGAGGAAATGACATGGTCCTTAATAAAGAAATGGTGACTGAATTGAGGCACATACTGAAATATAATTCTGGGGCTCTGGGAAAGTAAAAAGGACAGCATGGTTAGTATGGAATAAAGTTCCTGTAGTGCATTAAAGAATGTTTTAATCATTTTCTGGGAACTGAAGGGAATCCCGAACAGGCAGTTTGAGAGTGATGACGATGAAGCATCCTTTATAATACAACGGATGGCAGAGTTTGTCATTTTATTTTTAAAAATTTTTAAAGATTTTATTTATTTGAGAGAGAGAGAGGGAGCGAGGGAGAGACCAAAGAGGGGGAGGGAGAAGCAGACTCCCCGCTGAGCACGGAGCAGGAGGTGGGGCTCGATCCCAAGACCCAGGATCATGACCTGAGCTGAGGGCAGACAGCTTAACCGACTGGACCATCCAGGGGCCCCTAGAGTTGTCATTTTAAATCCACATAATAGTAGATACAAGCAAGACTCTTCTTGTAAAGATTTCTTAAATTAAGGGGCAGCATAAAATGACCCAGGATTTAACATAAGTAAGTTGGGGTTTGATTTCTAACTTCCGGTTATCACGAACCTTAAGTAAGTCACTTAACTATCCCGAGTTCGAGTTTCTTCGTCGAAAAAAAGAAAACAAAAACTCAAAGGAACTGGGGGATCGCTGTAGCAATGCATCTGAAAGCATTTTGCAAATCGGAGTGGTGCACAAATGCCAGTCTATTATAACGGGATTCAGCACTTTGTCCCAGTGGAGTTAGGAATTCCTTATTTGGACCCACCTTCACTGGAGAATTCTGGAAAAGATGCTTCCCGTGGCATGCCTTTTGAGCTCTGTGCGCATCCCTTGCTGAATAAAACTTGATGATGGCATAGAAACCAGGACGGGCCACTGCAGCATTTGGGAAGACTCGGACTGAATACAGAAGGCCAAACTGGGAGAATACTGTGAATAGAGAATGCTGTGGGGTGGTCCCACGGCAAGTAAGTGCATGAAATTTCACGCCCAGAAACCAAAACTGCCCAATCCCTAAACCCTTGTGCACAGGCAACCCCAAGCACTTCTCATTTCATGAACAGGTCTTCCTCTAAAATCCTAAGATTCGAGAAGCATCAGAAGGCAACATATGCTGGCTGTTGAGAGTTACCTCTCAGAAATCTGTTGGGGCTGACAGACTGCTGAGGTCCCCTTTAAAACTAAGATTCCTCTCGGCAGAGACTACAAGGCGCGTGAGGAGCTAAGACCAGACTCCAGGGCTCCCAGTCACCGAGTTGGGGACAGGGGGTGAGGAGACACACGGCCTTCTCCATCCCTCCCTCCATCATGGCTCGGCTCACATGCAAGTCCTCGGCCGTGGGTCCAGAACTCAGTTCCCACACCAGCAAGGTTTTGTCACTTTCGGTGGGAACGGCAAAAAACACCAACTCCGCCATCCTACCACCATTGCGCATGCGCAGTTAAGGTTCAAGCGGCACTGCGCCTGCGCAAGGCGCGCCCGCGCTTTTTTAAAAAAAAGGGGGGGGCTCGTACGAGGGGTGGGGCCAGCTCGGCGGAGACGGGGTGAGGGCGGTTCCCGGACCTCTCTCTGGCTCCTCCCACTCCGGACGGGTCTCTGATTCTCTTTTCCCTCCCGCCTCTCCAGTGGTGGAGTTTAGTGCTTCTACTCAAGTGTACTTTTAGGGGAGAGACCAAAGGGTGAGCTTACAGGATCCTAGGGTGCGAATATCTTTAGAGCAGCCGGCTTCGAAATCCTTGAAAGGTGTTCCTGATTTTCCTACATAATTTTGGTGTAAGTGTGTTTGTTGGGATGAGAGGATGTGGGATGTTTGGCAGGCAGTGTGAGAAGGAGAGATAAATTCAGAAAAATCAAAGAGTCAGTCCAAGTAGGGCATCAACACTGGAGTTCATAGTGCTCTTGCAAAAGGGCTCTTCTAAGCCCCCAGTCAGCTATTTTGAGGACTAACACACTGAGAGGGAAACTAGGCCCTAAAGATCCGTATTTTAATCCTAGAATGCCTGAGCTGGAACGGACCTTACAAAACATCTCCTGGGGTTTCTAAACAATGGTCTCCAGACTGGTTCCGGTCTGTGAAGAAGTTTTCACTAGTCCTTGGCAAAACAAGAAAAGGATAATCAGGGTTTAAATTTTTTTTTTCATAAAACAAAATCTATTCCATTTTATTATCCTACAAATATGAACTTCATTTTTATTTCTTTTTCATTTTTTTATTTTTATTTTTATTTTTTTATTATTTTTTTTAAGATTTTATTTATTTGTCAGAAAGAGAGAGAGAGAGAGAGAGAGCACAGGCAGACAGAGTGGCAGGCAGAGGCAGAGGGAGAAGCAGGCTCCCCACAGAACAAGGAGCCCGATGTGGGACTCGATCCCAGGACACTGGGATCATGACCTGAGTCGAAGGCAGCTGCTTAACCAACTGAGCCACCCAGGCGTCCCCATTTTTTTATTTTTAAAATATTCTATACATTTATTTGAGAGAGCAAGAGAGAGAGAGAGGGCACGAGCAGGGGAGATGGGTAGAAGGAGAGGGAGAAGCCTACTCGGAGCCCCCTGAGCCAAAGGCAGGCACTTAACCAAATGAGCCACCCAGGCGCCCCATGACCTTCATTTTTCATGCTAAAAATTATTTTATGAGGAAATGCTGATAGACAATAGTTGTTTTTTTTTTTAAAGATTTTATTTATTTATTTGACAGACAGAGATCACAAGTAGACAGAGAGGCAGGCAGAGAGAGAGAGGGAAGCAGGCTCCCTGCTGAGCAGAGAGCCCGATGTGGGACTCGATCCCAGGACCCTGAGATCATGACCTGAGCCGAAGGCAGCGGCTTAACCCACTGAGCCACCCAGGCGCCCGACAATAGTTGTTTTGATTAATACTCTTAATTAAGAGTATTAATCAAAACAACTATTGGGCATTAAAATAAAAAGTTGGGAATCTTAACATGGTCTTAACTTTTCTGACATTTTACTGGTCTGGGAAATCCAAAAGTTAAGACTCAGAAGTAGGGACATCAGTGGCCCAAGTGGGACAGTTTAGTCAAACAGTACTGATGGTAGCTGTGTGCAAGACATTCCTCCAATGGCCCCTTTTCTGTCTTTGCATTGTCCTCCATTGTCCAGGTTTTACTCCACATCAGCACCTTCAGATTCCAAACAGATGCTTTTTTTTAAAAAAAACTAGATTTTAGCCCATTCTCTGAAAGCACCCCCAAATCATTGACTGCTGGCACCATCTCTTGGGCCCCACACCACTTTCTCCACCTCAATCTATAAGACCCTTAGCTCCACCCTTTTCCTACTTCTGAACTTTCTCTTTTACTTTGAAAATAGTTGGCTTTGGAGTAATACCTGGGATCCTGATACTCTTTAAAACCAAAAATTGTAGATTTTATTGCCCATTTTATTATCCATTGTATTCATTGTATATATCCACTCACTCATTGTACCCATTATTTGTGTACATCTCTGGGTAGATTATGAACACCTCAGGAACAATAGTTATGGTTTATTTTCCTTCTCCTAGTACCTACCACTCTCCTACTAGATTATGTACTCAAAAATATCTGGAATTAAAAATGAATAAATTAACACATTCTTTGCACAAGGAATGCTTTAATAATTCCCAAAATATAACAATTTCTTCATTGTGCTCCTCTGGGTTTGCAAGTGACAGTCAGGAACAAGATGCCTGAGGCCGGATGGGTACAAGGAGGAACCCCGAAAAAACTATTTATTCCTGGAGCTCTGGTCATTTTTATTTGTAAATGGGAATGAAAGAAAATAACGTGAGGTGGAGACAAGAGGAAGAAGTGAAGAATTCCCGAGTGAGAAGAGGAGCTCTGGAATGACTCCATAGTAGCCTTGCCCCCTGTCTCATCCCAAGAAACATCCCGTCATCCAGTAGGAGAGTGGACGGCCTGCACAGTGCAACCTCCACGCTACCCTGTGGAGAGAAGAAAGATTGGTTCTTGCTTACTACTTAGTAAGCTCCCTCTCCACATATATGGCCCAACTCTTAGCAAGTCTCTCAGGCAGAGCAGTGCTCAGAACCCCCCTTCATTCCTAGTTTTCTGGTCTGTCCCGCTGTGGCCCCTCTGATTCTTCCTTTAAATTTCCCTTATCCCTGGTGTTTGTCCTCTTCTCCCACTCAGTATGCTTCCACATTTTCAAATCCTTATCTCCCTCTGAAGTGGGAGAGCATCATTTTATGGGGCTGAAAGTTACAAAATAAATAAAAAAGTAAATAATCAATCAATCAATCTCAGGCACACTCATTGACTCTCCCTCCAGAAAGGGTCAGCCCTAATAGTCATCAGTGTCCTTTCTGCATGGTATTTCTAGAGTAGGCAAGGCATGTGACTCCCTCCATCCTCACAGAGGCCCGGAGAGGCAGCCATTTTTATCCTGTACAAATCCAGTTTGAAGCTCAGACGAGTGAAGTAACCATCCCAATGTCCACCACTGGTAGGCTGACAGCTTTGGGGGTATCTGCTCAGCTGAGGAGCTACACACCTTTTACAGAAAATGTTGCTGCCACAGGCACTTGGGTGGCTCAATTGGTTCAGCATCTGCCTTTGGCTCAGGTCATGATGTTGGGGTCCTGGGATCGAGTCCTGCACAGAGTCCCACATTGGACAACTTGCTTGGCCGGGAGTCTCCCTCCCTCCCCACTGCTTGTGCATTTGCTCTCTCTCTCTCTCTAATAAATAAATAAAATATTTTTTTAAAAAGAAAATGTTGCTGCCAATTAGGGAGAAGGGACCCATGGCAACTATGATGGTATGACTTAATTGCTCCCAGGCCTCCAGCTGATTGTACTAAGCAGGGGCATTTGTCCAAGCTGAACCAATCAGATTCTTTATCTTGGGCCCTTGAACTGGGACTGAGCTTATGCTGTCTCTGTGGCTGCTTAGGACATTAGCCCATCAACTTGGGGCAGCCTTGGTCTGTCTTGTGGAAGGTGAAGCAGAGAATGCGGCTCTACAAAGAAAGAAGGGAAGCAAATGCACCAGGAAGTGGAAACTTGCAGGAAAAGCTCGCTGACGGTTTCCAGCTCTGCTTCCACTCTCTTCCTGAGGTCCTCTCCACAGGCTGCACCTGTGTAAGCTCAGTGACACAACTTGTCCCCTCAGGATACCTCTCTCTCAGCTAATTCAAGCTTCTTTGTTACTGCATCCAAAAGAGGGTTTTTTTTGTTTTGTTTTGTTTAGAAGATTTATTTATTTTTGAGAGAGAGAAAGAACAAGTGGGGAGAGGGGCAGAAGGAGAGGGAGGGAGAATCCCAAGCAGACTCCCCACTGAGTGGGTAGCCTGTCACAGGGCTCGATCCCATGACCCTGAGATCATGATCTGAGCCTAAATCAAGAGTCAGAAGTTTAACCAACTGAGCCACTCAGGCTCCCCCTCAGTTTTAATATAACATCTGAGAAAGACCCAGATCCCAGGTCTCGTAAGTCAGAGTCGCAAGCCCTTCCGCTCTTCTACATCTTTCTAGACTATGAAAGGGTCTAGTCCTTGCCTACTATGCCTTTCTTTGTCACCACATCCTTCCTGGGGGCTCTGCCCACTAACTTAGTCCCACAGTGTCCTCCTCACCAGTTCTTCATCCCCCCTGCTCCAGACACAATCTTTTTTGCACAGCTGATGGTTGAGAGAAGATTGGGGCTCAGTAGGTCTGAAAGAGAGAGAGAGAGAGAGAGAGATTACCCGTGAGAACACAAAGGACAGTCCCAAAGACTGAGGCAGACCCGGGCTGTCCTTGTGCTGGCATGGGGCACCCAGGAGCTGAGTATTTACAGATTAGGCAAGGCATCCCTCCCAGAGGCCCATTCAGACATCCCTACAATAGTGGTCGGGGTGTCAGAGGTGGGGGCAGGAGGGGTAGGATGACTGTTTACCACCATACTTCCCAACCAAGGTAGATGATGGTTCACCCCATGTTTTAGGGTTTCTGGGGAAAGGAAATGTCAACACAGGCAGCACAGAGACCAAGGTAAATTTGCCTGATGATGGAGGCTCTTCAGGTGGAGAGTCTAAGAATCTTAATCAGACTGTGAAGGAGAGAGAGAAGGTTCAAGTCATGTACCTATGGCCCCTCCTGGAGTGGCTCTGATGAGGGGAGTTTGTACTTGGCCTTTAATCAGACCATTAGCCAAAGTTAGTACTTGATGGTTAGAGCTGAGCCTTCAGGGCCAGTAACCTGGCATTCAGCACTGGTTCTATGAGTCTCAGTTGGCTCATCTGTAAGGTGGGCATCAAGATAATTTCCACTGAAACAGCATGGAGGTTCCTCAAAAAGTTGAAAATAGAGCTACCCTATGACCCAGTAATCACACTACTGGGTATTTACCCTAAAGATACAAATGTAGTGATCCGAAGGGGCACGTGCACCTGAATGCTTATAGCAGCAATGTCTACAATAGCCAAACTATGGAAAGAACCTAGAGGTCCATCAACAGATGAATGGATAAAGAAGATGTGGTATATCTACAATGGAATACTATGCAGCCATCAAAAGAAATGAAATCTTGCTATTTGCGACAATGTGGATGGAACCAGAGGGTATTACGCTGAGCGAAATAAGTCAATCAGAGAAAGAAAATTATCATATGATCTCCCTGATATAAGGAAGTTGAGAGGCAACATGTGGGGTTTGGGGGGTAGGAAAGGAATAAATGAAACAAGATGGGAGCAGGAGGGAGACAAACCATAACAGACTCTTAATCTCACAAAACAAACTGAGGGTTGCTAGGGGGTAATGGGTAGGGAGAGGGTGGTTGGGTTATGGACATTGGGGAAGGTATGTGCTATGGGGAGTGTTGCAAAGTGCGTAAACCTGGCGATTCACAGACCTGTACTCCTGCGGCTAATAATACATTATATGTTAATAAAAAATAAAAAATTCAAAAAAAAAGATAATTTACACTGCATGAAAAGCTGGGTGAAATGGGCTCTGCAGGTAAAGTGCAGAGCATATAACACACCCACGAGAAATGTTGGCGATGCAGAGCTTCTCTGGATCCTGCACACAGAGGAATCCCTAACGGGGTGAGCACTACAGCCACTAGTGAAATCCTCTGCTCAGCAAAGGCATTCCTGGACTAGACTCTTTGGACCATCCCTCTGGGGACATGGCCAGGCTTTGAGTGGAAGGAGAAGTCCTGTGAGTAGAGCCTGGTCGTCTCTCTCACCTCTCCCACCCTGGGGCCCTGGCCAGACCTTGACAGTCCTCGTGGCAAATGTTTTCCGAATGACTCCGGTAATCGTTGCACCAGTAATGGCTGTTGATCTGGAAGATTCCATAGTCAAAGCTGCCATCTGCGTTTTCATTTACCTTTGATATGTTGAAGTTGCTTTCCACAAAAGCCAGACACAGCCCTTTGAACAGGGAGAAGAGGGTTTTTAGAGGGTGCTGAGCTGAGGCAAGAGGGAGATAGAGGAGAGAGGGAGATCAGGAAGCAGAAGAAAGGAGCAAGGCCTAAGAGGCTGGATGGGGCAAGTAGGCTAGAAATACCCATTAGCTTCTCCCCTCACCCTTCGTCCCACCCACCTGCCCCTCAGTATAACCACTCATCACCTATCTGCCCACCCATGCTTCCTGCACTTAATGATCACCTACTGTGTGCCAGGAACTGGGCAAAGCCCAGTGAGGGACATCCCCAGCACCCAACATAGTTCCTGGTACATAACAAGTGCTCAGTTAATAATTATGGAACAAATATGGAATGTTGGGAAGGGCTCCTTAGGGATGGAACTTGGCTTTGAAAGATGAATGACAGAGAGAAAGGTGGCCACCTAGGGTGTGACTGGGAGAGGAGGAGAAATGGGTGGGGGGAGTCGGGGGGGGGCCACTCACAGTCATTCAGGGAGTAGCCCTCAAACCCATCCAAGTCCTCCTTGCGCAGCACTCTGGCCAAGTCACAGCGATTGATGAGGCTGGCCTGACTGATGGCAATGAGGCAGCTGACCAAGGACATGAGTAGTGCCCCTGTCATCTTCAGAGGGGAGAAGGTACAGTCGAGGGCCCACTGTTCTGGGGATCTCACCGACGTGCCGTTGGTCTTCTCTGAGCTGCTGAGGAATCTATAGAGAGCAGCCATATGTCCTCGCTCACACACGGCTCCCCACCTGGCTATTTCTCTTTCCTCTCCTTTATTATTGTATACTTGTTTACTATAGAAACCTTTAAATATTTACAATATAAGAGAGAATAGCATCATGAATCTTCATATACCCATTGCCTGGTGTCAACATTGAAAAACCAAGGCTGATCGCCTTTCATCTATAGACCTTCACCCCTTTTAGCTATTCTCACTCGTAATGGAAAGCCAGCTATGGGCAATATTTTGGTACGGAGTGGGGAGTGAGGGTGGCAAAGGAGATTAATTGTGTGTGTGTGGATTCGAGTACATGTTTGCAGAGGAAGGTCTAGGACAGTGGGCGCTGAACTCCCGCCAGCCCCACACCCCCACATACACGACGCATGACTTTGCCCAAGGGCATACCCTGCCTTGTGCAATTCCTAGGAAGCTGTTTATGGGTTCTGCACTTTCATTTCCACTCAAAGGTGCATATCATAAAGCAAATAAAAGTGACCTTGCTGTAGAAATAACCTTCACCTTCACACTGTGTGCTGGGGGAGGAGTGAGGAGCAAGGGCTCTGGATTCACATTGCCTACTTTCAAACACAGGGCTGCTGTGTGACCTTGAACAATTTACTTGGGCCTCTCTGGGCCTCGTTTGTAAAATGAAGATACACTAATACCTACTCAATAGACTTGTTACGATGATTAAAGAAAATATGATCTTGGTTTTGCATTTCCCCAAACAGGAAGCAGGACTTCCGGGAAAAGAGTTGCTTCCTAGGCTGGAGTAGGAAAGGGTATGAGGTAAGTCCAGATTCTCTAGTGCTAGAAAGTAAGGAAGTGCTCAAAATATGGACCGGAGCATGTCAAATGGACATGAGAGTCAGCTCCAAGGGGCACCCACTGGCCAAAACTGGAACATTATTTTTGGTAACAGCTTTATTGAGATAAAATTCACGATATATAATTCACTATGTCATACCATCACTTCACTTCAAGTGTACAGTCCAATAGTTCTCTAGTGTGTTTGCAGAGCTGTATAACTATCAACACAGCCGGTTTTAAAACATTTTCATCAACCCAAGAAGAAATCCCATACCTGTTAGCAGTCACTTCCTCTCCACTTCCCTCCTGCCTCTGGTACCTCAAATCTACTTCCTATCTCTCTAGATTAGCCTCTTCTAGACATTGCACATAAATAGAGTCATACACTATATGGCCTTTGTGTCTGGCTTCTTTCACTTAACAATGTTTTCAAGATTTATTCATGATGCAGCAGGTATCAGGATCTCATTATGGTTGAATAATAATATTCCATTGTATGGATAGACCACAATCTATTTCTATACTTATCATTTTATAAACATTTGGGTTGTTTCTAGTTTGGGGCTATTACGAACAGTGGTGCTATGAACATTGACGTACAAATTTTTGTGTGGGCAAATGTTTTCTTTTATTTTTTAAGATTTTATTTATTTATTTGACAGACAGAAGGATCACAAGTAGGCAGAGAGGCAGGCAGAGAGAGAGGGGAAGCAGGATCCCTGCTGAGCAGAGAGCCCGATGCAGGGCTCGATCCCAGGACCCTGAGACCATGGCCCGTGCCAAAGACGGAGGTTTAACCCACTGAGCCACCCAGGTGCCCATGGACAAATGTTTTCATTTCTTTAGGCATATACTTAGGAGCAGAATTGCTGAGTCATATAAGTAACTTAAAGTTTAAACTTTGGAGGAACTGGGGGGACTGGGTGGGTCAGTCAGTTGAGCATCCGACTCTTGATTTTGGCTCAGGTCATGATCTCAGGGTCATGGGATGGAGCTCAGGGTGGGGCTCGGGGCTCAGTCAGGAGTCTCCTTGAGATTCTCTCTCTCCCTCCCCCACCCCAATAAATAAATAAATCTTAAACTTTGGAGGAACAGCCAGAAATTTTGGCTGTGCCCTCAGCAGTGTCAGTGTAGGAAGGTTCAAATTTTTCCACATTCTCACCAATGCTTTCTCACCAAAGTTAACCTAATTGGTGCGAAGTGGTATCACATCCTGGTTTTGATTTGCATTTCCCTGGTGGCTAATGATCTTTTCATGCAATCATTGGCTATTTGTTGATCTTTGGGAAAATGTCTAGTATTCAGACCCTTTGCCCATTTTTTAGTTATTTGCCTTTTTATTATTGAGTTGTAAAAGTTCTTTGCCAGATATATATTTGCAAATATTTTCTCACATTCTGTGGGCTCCCTTTCACTTTCTTGATGGGGTTCTTTGAAACAAAAGAATTACATTTTAATGAAGACTGATTTATCTATTTTTTTTTCTTCTGTTGCTTGTGCTTTTGGTGTCATATGTCCAGAATAATGCACAATGGTTTCTATGGTAGTCTGGGACAATTTGACCATCAAAATAAATGACGGTGACAGATTATAATCTATTGAATGAGATAGGAACCCAAGAGTCCTTAATAGTAATGAATAGACACATAATGGGGATGGGGGAGAGCTGACAATAAAAGGGTGAATGATCAATGGTGAGGCAGTCATGAAGTTGGAAAATCATCATTCTGCAACCATCAAAGATTGGTCTGAGCAGGAATCATCAACAGATGTGAAATCTGACATGGTGGGAAGCTTGATGAAGAAATGATATACACAAGCTCTTAGAGGGTCTTCCCCCAGGTCTTCTATTAGTTGCATGGGAAAAAACAGCAATTATGCAGCAAAGAAACCAGACAGTTTTTGGAACTTGCAATCAAAATTAATAGCACCAATAAAAGAGGAAGATTATGTGCCTCCAGAAGTGATGCCCTAAGAATGACATATAGGGCTTTGGTAGTATTCTGGCCAGGGATGCATAAGTTGTATTTAATCCCAAGGAAACATTGGATAAAGCCAAACTGACAGAAAATCTATAAAATAACTGGCCTCTAGTCTTCAAAACTGTCAATGAAGTGAAAGCAAAGAATGGGGCTATTTCTCTCACTAAGTGTGCATGTGCATGTGTGTGTGTGTGTGTGTGTGGGTGCGTGTGTGTGTATCTTTCCCCTTAAACTAAGTATATGTTCTCAAGGGCAAAGGCCTGGGTCCCTCCATCCATGGGCTTCAGAGTCAGGCAACTTCTTCGTGGACAACATGGCGACTCTGACGGCCTTGTCACCTCACAGGTGTCTTCTGAGACCCCTCCATACTAGCCTGAGCTTGTGAACACTCTTTTGCTTCTCTCTCGCACCCTAGAGTTGCCAGATTTGGCAAATAAAATGATAGGATGCCCAATTACATTAGAATTTCAGACAAACCTCAAAGAATTGTTTGGTGTAAGTATGTCGCATGCAATCCTTCTCTACCCTGACTCTGAAGGTTCCTTCAGAGACAGGAGTCACGGAGCCTTGGGAAGCAGGGAGCTCTATCTCTGCCCATGAAGCCCCCTCTTGGGGTTTCTGTGGGAGAATAAAGTACTTCTGGCAGGTGCATTCCCACCTCCCCTTCCAAAGCTTACCTCTCTCCTAGCCTTCTCCAACCCCAGGTCCCAGACAGGCCAGGGCTTTCCTCCGGAGTCAGTAGCACAGAGTCTCTTCCACATGAGCTATACCCTAACCCTGCCCAATTCACAGGTCCCCATGTTCTAAAGAAGGTGAGAGTGCTGGGCCAGCCTGCCTTCTGGAACCCCTGTTCTGTGATGTCATCATTCTCCTGGAAATACTCTGGTCTTAACCATGCAAACTGAGGCCCATTCAAGCTTCCAGCAGAAAATACACATGGGTCTGGAAAGACCGGTGATAACTGTGATGAAGATCACTGGTGGGGCAGGGCAGAGAATTCTGGTTTTCTGAGTGCCCACCTCCATTCCCTTCCGTAAACAGTATTGCCTTTGTGGGGAGCTCCTTCCGATGGAGCAGTGGAGACTGCCAATCACAGGGCCCTATCTTCCAGGGACAGGGTGTGCCTAGGGCCCCACCATTATATTTTGAATTGAAACTGAGTGGAGCAGCTCAGCTTCCCACGGGAGGCCTTCAGGTGTGCGGCCAGAAGCTGACAGTGTGGAATCATGTGGATACAGCCCATCTGGGAGGATAAACTTCCCCGAAAAGGGAGCAGGGTCCAGACAGGATTCCAATCCTAGAGTCCACCCTTTCTGAGACCTAAAAACACTCTTGCCCTGCGATTCATTAAACGTCCCTTCCTGCAGAAATGAGTTTGGCTTGGGTTTCCATCCCTTGCAGTCAAGAGAGACCTGCCTGGTAGAGAGCATAGGGTTAACCCTCTGGGAAGTGGTGACCAGACAACCTGTCACCTCCCCATGTAGGGGGCCCATCTTAGTGTCATTAGTTACCAGCGAAGTCTGAGAGATACTCCCACCAACTGTAGCAGAAAGGAGGCAAAGGAAAGTTCTGTGACTCTCTACACCTTGAAACAAGATGGCAGGGGCTGAGGGAAAGAAGGTAGGAAGAGGGGCGCCTGGGTGGCTCAGTGGGTTAAGCCTCTGCCTTCGGCTCAGGTCATGATCTCAGGGTCCTGGGATCGAGCCCTGCATCGGGCTCTCTGCTCAGCAGGGAGTCTGCTCCCCCGCCCTCTCTCTCTGCTTGCCTCTCTGCCTACTTGTAATCTCCATCTGTCAAATAAATAAATAAAATCTTAAAAAAAAAAGGTAGGAAGAGCTTCTAGATGGACAGTGCTGTCCTGTACTTCTGCTTCCACACTTCTCTTTCCGGAGGGCCGAGGGACATTGGGGCTTGGGCTAACAGTGTTGGGAGGAGCGGCACCTGGGTGGCTCAGTGGGTTAAACGTCTACCTGGTTAAGCATCTCCCTTTGGCTCAGGCTCAGGTCATAGTCCTTGTGTCCTGGGATCCAGCTCAGCATGGGGCTCCCTGCTCAGCAGGGACCCTGCTTCTCTCTCTCCCTCTGCCCCACCCTCCCCCCATGCACGTGCTGTCTCTTTCAGATAAAAACAAAAAACAATGTTCAAAGGAGTAATAAACATATACCTAATTCATCAATGATTATGACTAGTCTGTGAAATTTATTTTTCTTCTTTTCCTTTCAGCAAAATCACTAATTACGCTACGATTACCAAGATTTTAAAATATATTTAAGGACTCAAAACACAATTATATTCAAAAAACAAAATGTAAACATATTTTTATCAGAAATAGAAATTTGCATAAAAACGTTTTACTAGTTTTTTCCAGTGTTTTCCTCCAAAGTTAGGTTTTTTTTTACATACTGGAAAATTCAAAAAGCAATAGTAAAAATTTAAAAGGCAAAGCACACATGAGAATTAATAAATATCAAATTTTTATATCGAATACACACAAATTCAAATATATGATTTTACTCTTTAAAAGCTGAATTAAATTTTATTAAAGAACTTAATTTTTACAATTTAACTTAAATTGTTTTTAAACTATATATTTCATTTAAATTTTTATTTAAAAATAAATAAGTTTTGGGTTCCTGAGTGGCTCAGTGGGTTGAGTGCCAAATTCGTGATTTCGGCTCAGGTCATGATCTCAGGGTCTTGGGACTGAGCTCCGTTTCAGGATCCGCTCAGTGGGGAATCTGCTGGAGGATTTCTCTCCTTCTCCCCTGCCTCTTCCCCTGCTCATGCACACACTTTCTTTCACTGTCTCTCAAATAAATAAATAAATCTTTTTTTTTAAGTTACTTTTTATTTATGTATTTATTTGTAATCTCTAACCCTGATGTAGGGCTCAAACTCATGACTCTGAGATCAAGAGTCCAATGCTTTGAGCCCCCCCCACAATAACTAACTTTTAAGCGAAACTGTTAAAATTTGTAATTCTAGCATTCGGTGTCCATCTCGTTGCCAATGTGAAGAATTAGTATCGTTATGTTTAAAGTCTAGATAAACATACACATTTGAGTGATGTGATGGGATTTATGTGGTATTGCAAACATTTTCTCGGCTTCCATTTACAACGGATGCAAATACTGTACAAATTCATCTGTACCCCCAGAACCACAAAGAGGCATATAAAACAAAAAGAAATGGTACACTCGGTACTACTAGAAAATGACATTCTTTGTGTTCAAATCTATTGCATTCAGGCTCAGAGGAAAGATCTGACAAGTTCTTTAATTCGTCTTTTCTCTTACCTAAGTACTTCTCTGCTCAAAGTCTCCCTGCACGCTGAGATATTACCCAGCAGGGGTCCTGTTTAGCTTTCATTAAACCTTTCAATGTAGATGCACTTTCTCCCCCATCCATATAGAGTAAGACAGGAAGCATCTCCCTGGGCACTGAGCATTGTTAGTCAAGCTCATGGGTATTTAGGGTTAGATCTAGCTGGGGCGGTGCTATTAAATTAAAAGACAACATGGCTTCCTGATGGCCAACCCTGTGAGAAATAAATCTTTCCACTGAGCTGTAGTCTGCCGGTGTCCACCCGCTCCGTCCACTTTCAGCCCCCATGCGTCAGGCCGCTCAACCCTGTACCTTTGGAGTGGTCGACCTCGGGGCTTTGGAACCAAACCAAAGCTTCTGGCAAAGTGGGTTCCTATTGTAACTGTACGAGTAGGTGAAGTGTCTGACTACATCTTATATGTTCCAGTGCGATCATGCCTGAGCATTTACACGAAACTGACCTATTATTTTATTGCTTTCCTTCAGTTTCTCTTCTATTTAGGACATTATTATTGATGTTTAAAATTATCACCTTGCTGAATGGGTAAACACATTCTGGTACACTCAGATAATGGAATACTACTCAACAACGAAAAGGAATGAGCTACCAGTACACCCAACAACATGGATAAATTTATAAATAATGCCAAAAGAAGCCAATCCAAGAAGAGAGACGTATAGACTGCACGGTTCCATTTACAAGGAACTCCAGAAAAAATGTAAGCTAATCTAGAATGACAGAGAGCAGATCAGTAGTTGCTTGGGGATGGGGGAGCAGGAAGGGGCAGAGGGAGGAATTACAAGGAAACTTTTAGGAGCGAGGAGATGTTCACTATCTTGATTATGATGGTGGATTCAGGAGTATATACATATGTCAAAAATTATCAAATCATACACCATAAATATGTAGCTTATTATATGTCAATACCTGAATCAGGTAAATTACAGTTACACACAATATAGTTTTATGAAAAGGGGGTTGTAGGTCCGCCATGGTTGAGAAGCCCAGCCTCCGTCTGATTCAGAAAACTGCGTCACTGTCTCCAGGCCAACTCTGTGCAATCTACCCAGTGGCCACTAGAGGCCAGCAGTGGCCCATACACAGAAAGTGTACATTGCTGGGCACCAACATTTTTATTTTTATTTTTTTTTAAGATTTTATTTATTTATTTGACAGACAGAGATCACAAGTAGGCAGAGAGGCAGGCAGAGAGAGAGAGGAGGAAGCAGGCTCCCCGCTGAGCAGAGAGCCCAATGCAGGGCTTGATCCCAGGACCCTGGGATCATGACCTGAGCTGAAGGCAGAGGCTTTAACCCACTGAGCCACCCAGGCGCCCCTGGGCACCAACATTTTTAATTTCCTCCTCTGTGCTCCCTAGACAGGGAGGTGGGCATTAATATCCCCACTTTACACAGAATTAGAGCTGGAATTTGGGTTGTGGTCTCTTTGGGTCCCGATATCACCTTGTTGGTCCCTCAAGCCAAGACAACTCCTTGTGCTACCATTTCTTGTAAAAGGGGGCCCCGTCTCCCTGGAGGGGGCGGTGCGGGGAGGCAGCTGGCCATGGCTGCAGGCCAGTTATCAGCAGGGAGTAGTTGCAGATGGCACCAATGACTTGTGATTCTCAAGGTGCCTTTGGAAGACCTCTAGGGCCTGGAGTAGCCTCTGTATTGATTCTCCACCTTTCCTGAAATACCACCCTTATAAAACAAGACAAGATTCCATTAGCCAACCAAGCTAAAGAACTCACTGGAATAATTTTCATAAGGGAAAGTAGGGAAGGTGCAATTGGGGGAGGGGAGGACATGGTGGGGCATCCAGCGCATGCTACAGTGGAGGCTTCCCAGTAAGATCTGTCGCTAACACATGCTGAGCCCTCCCAGTGTGTGAGGCATGACGCCAAACACTGCCTGCTGGGAGCCATTTTGTCTTCACACTGTTCTCGTGAAATCAACTGCTGAGAGGTTAAGCAACTCACCCAAGGTCACAGAACTAGTGGGAGATAGAGCAAGGATTTGAACCCAGGTTTGACACCAACATGGTGGGTTCCATTGTCACTCTCTATTGCTCATCTTAACAGCATCATCTTTCTTTCTCTTTGGGGCTGGGGCATTGTTCGGTTCATGTGTCAGGCTGGTTGGTGTTGGTAGCAGGTGGTGGGTATTTCAGTTGAACCTTCTGAAGATAAAGCTCCTGATGTTTCAAGAGAATTTTGAGCATCGCTGATGGTCCAGGAAGGAAGTCTTCCCGCTTTCTTTGCCGAACATTTACACGGTGTGAGGCTCTGTGTTAAGACCGATGCTTTCATAGTAATGGTACTTGAAGGTCAGGTGGGCAGAGGCCAGCACCAAGGAATCAAGGGGCGGGTGACCTGTGGCCATGCAGTGGCCTTGTCCATCTGTGCCCACAAGAGTGTGTCAGACGCAGCAGTACCCCACCTTCGCTGGAGTCCCTAGCAG